GGGTTTGATCAGTCTGGATAAGTGTCCTGCGTGTTCCACATTTTCTTGGCTCAAGATCTGTGGATCCATTTTTTGGTTGTTTGAACCCGATGCTCTCCGGTGCTCTTCATGGCCAAGTACCAACACCTGTTGGTGCCTGCCTCAGTCGCAGTTTGTAGACCTTCCGGTCCCACATGGAAGTGCACTCTTCTAGCTGGGGGTGCGGTTTGGGTGCCATCGAGCTTCCCAGAGCTCTGGCTGTGGCGATTGAGCCGAGGCCTTTGGCATCGTTTCATGGTGCCTGGCTGCCGAAGATGAATCTTCGTGCACAAACAGATTGGATTTGCTGGATGTCTCCTTTTTTATGCAGGCTCGTGCGGCATATCATCGACTTGCCGATTTTTTGGGTGTGTTTTTTCGCGGCAGTGAAGCAAGATGCGGGCGTGTCCCTTTTCGGGACATTCTTTTTGGATGATTCTAATTGGAGGCCACAAAGAAGAAGAGTGCCAAAAAAGTGCAACAGGCAAACCATGTTGAAGGTCCCTTTCTTCATTTAGCTACGCCTTTTTGGCTCCACCCGGAGCCCTGCAGGTGAAGCAGAACTCGACAGTTCAGACAGTTCCTGCGCAACACAACCGGTTTCTTGGCTTCCGCGCCTTTTTTTTTTTTCGTCCAGAAAGGGTCCAATCAACCACGGAAAATCCGTACCGTGGTATTTACTTGATGTCCACCTTAGTTGGTCCATCCGCGAATCCATACCTGAAAGGGTGTGTTTCTTTTTTGGGGTATTCGTTGTGCGGCCTGCACTTTCTGTGTGGGAAAGCTGCGGACATTTCATTTTGGGGGGGCACCTTTTTTCTCGAGGACCTGGCCATCGATGCTGCTCGACAACATGAACCGAGCTTGGGCTGGCCAGCAAATGCCGTTGAGTCCCGGAGCGCAGTCCTCCTCTGAAAGCTCCGGCACTGCGCTGCTGGACATCATCATCATCGTGGTGATGATCGGGCTCTTGGTCTTCTAAGATTCTACGTCCGCCAGTTTTTTTCAGGGTTGAACAGTTTGCCACCAATCCCGGAAAGGATTCTTCCCGCACCTTTTAGTCGGGCTCTATGTTCGTGAATGGCAGAATGCCACTTAACTTCGGCTACCCAGAGACTCAAAACTGTGTGAATTTGTCGTTCCCTGGTGGAAACACCATGTTTTCAGGGATATGTCACGAAAACATCGTTTTTCCTGACAGCACAATCGATACTTTTCAAGCCGTTTCCTGCCTCAAACAACCATGCTCTCCAAACGAGGATACCCGTCAAACATGGGCACTGGAGCACTGGAGAAGGCTTGTGTTGGGGGTTTATTTATGTTCAGGCATGGCCCCTGTGTGACCCGCGAATGCTACCACTGCCGCAATTGCCGCATGGTATGCAGGGTGCACAAGAAAAGCTGCAGAACGAGTGTTCGGAGCGTCATGTTGAATGTGTAACCTGGACATGGCATTTTTTTTTGGAAAAGCCGCCAAGCACAATGGAAATGGGGAGGGCCCGTGGAATACCCGCGTTTCTTGCGTTTTCACGAAACGTGTTTTGGCATCCGTGGCGAACCCCTGGCTAACCCGTGAGAAAATCTGGGTTCCGGACATGCGTTCCTTTTGACGCCGCCACTCAACTTGGTACACATAGCAGGTGTCCCAACTTGCAAAAGCAGGCACCTTCCGGCGCTTCCTCAGGTTATCTGAAGGGTTCTCAAGCGTGCCCTTGCTACCTCCTTCAAGGATTGGAAAGAGGATGGTTTTCTTCAAAAAGTAGGTCGACCGAGCAATTTATTGTTACAGAAGCAGTTGCGTTTGCAGAGTCCTGCTAGGGGTTCAAGTCAGAAACCTAGGTGCTTCCTCACGCGTGGTTGAAGCTTTTGGCGCACGTTGCCGTTTGCGCACGTTGCCTGAGGGAAGGGCAGCGTGTGCATTCTGATCGATTGAATCGGTTTTGCTCCAGAAGGTTCTTGTTCAAGGTGGAACGCAGTGCTTGTGAGTCGACCCTCACGGCAATAAGGTGTGTGTGTGTGTCTCTCTCTCGCTCTCTCTCTCTCTCTCTCTCTCTCTCTCTCTCTGGGTCTTCCGCTTGCTTGCAGGCGGGCGCGCCTTGGAGGGCTTTGTCCTTGGGGCCTCATCTGAGGTCGCAGACTGGGGGCATCGTGCTGCTGAACCTCAGACGGAACTCAAAGGGGTTGGTCTTTCTATTTGTCCCAAGAGAGAACCACCTCCAAAGTTGTGAGTGGATGTGAATCCCGACATAAATCACGCGCCTTCGTTTTTTGAGAGATCCCCTTTCAATCAAAGGGGACCAAAGGCAAACAACCATCTCTCTGGGGGTTCCTATGTTGATAAACTTTTGGACGCTTGGTGAGTGGAAACCACAAGCTGCCATTCATGCACATGTGCTCAATTATGTGGCCGCCACAGCTTGCTTTCAACCATGTTGGTCTAACATGTTTGGCCTAACCAATTGTTTGTTTCGTGTTGATTTGTCCTGATTGTTGCCTATCACTCATGCTGGTCATTTACAACTGTCTGGGTTTTCTATTTGCTTGCGGCCAGATTGCGTTCTGCGTCGGAGTGGGTTGCGCGGCTGGAAACGCCATTGTTCTTCAAACATGGGGTCAATCACATGGCTTAGCAGATGCACGCAGTATTTCCAGATTGGGTCAAGCGAGTCAGGGGCTGCAGTTCAAATGTTCATCAGAAAAGGTGTTCTGGTCGTGTTCTCCTGTGGGGCGCTGGAGCATGTCAGGAACGTGGTTACCATGCTCTTTGGCAGCAACCAAGTGCTGGTCAAGATCCTGGAGACGGATGATGCCACCCACGCCATGGACAGCTTCTTGCTTCTTGTCATCGACCAGGTAGCAAGAGTTTAGTGAGATCTGGGTTCGCACACACTCAGCAGACTCAGCAGGCTCATAAGAAGGGTAGGCTTGTCGTCCCATTTTTTGTTTAACCGCTGGATCTCGGGTCGCAAAGCTCCAAAAACTGCTGGTATTGGCTAGGAGCCTTTACTGGGTGCATAAGCCGCGTTCATGATGCGTCTGTAAACAAATTAGTAGATTTCTCCAGGCCTTTCATCTGAGCAACCCAACGATCATGTTCCCTCCAACGCAGAATCCCGGCCCTTGAAAACAAGCCTGCTTTCGTTGAGGAAAATTGCCAGCAGCGGGTTTCCTTACTTTGCCAGTCAAGGGACTTTAGTGGTGAACAAAAAGTTTGCTTTGGCCCATTTTGGCCTTGTGCTGACTCCACTCGGTCAGTGAAGGTCCCTAAAAAGGGCAACCTCTCTTAATGGGCCGCTTTCTTCATAGTAAACGTATTGGGGAGGCAAGCTCGCTGAGGTGCATGGGCCTCCGCTTCGGAGTCGGCGCCCTCGCGCTGAGGGCCTTTATGTTAACCAAGCGGAAGGACAAGGCACGGTGAAAGCAATGGACAGGGTTGTTTGCTTGTTGTTTGTTTGCTGATCCGTTGGTTGCTTGGTTGGTGGGTCCGTTGGTTAGCCAGTTTGAGACATTGGACATATTGCACGGCATAGCGCCGCGAAAGTTATTTCCTTGAGTGATGATTGAAAAAACGAACTGAAGAAAACATGAAGTGAAGAGCGGAGAGCAGAAGGAGATTGGTGGCTTGCTGCCCTTGGGCGATAAAAACTCAGTGGTGAACAGCCGGCGTCCGTTCAAAGGGGCGGATTGGTGAGCGCACCCTTTCACTGGCCGTGATATGGTGGCTTGAACATTAACCTGAAAGACCCCAGCCTGGGCACGTTCCAGGTTTGGCCATCTAAAACAAGATGGTAAAATTCGCGGGGGAAGGCGGGGGGCGCTGGAGTTGAGTCCAGTGACGTTTCCATTTTTGGAACACCTGAAGTCCCTCACGTCAAGACCTGAGTCCGTGGAATGTCCAATTTTGGATTTATTAAGCCTCCTAGTTTGGATGTTTTTCTCAATATGTGTTCCTTTCCATTTACCCCGGGCTTGAACTGGAGTTCACCAGATTTTCTAAATTCGCTCAGATTTTAAGCAGGAATTCCATTTCCAAATAGGTGTTAAATGAATTTAAGAAGCATTTTAATACAATTTAATACGGACAGAATTCAGTTTGGCCTTTGAAAAATCATTTTAAATGGGAATTCCGAATTTCCTTTCATATGATTTGAATTTGAATAGAATTTGATACAGAACTCATCTGAAAACATGTTGTTTAGTAATCCAAACGGGACATTGTCTCCAGACTCCTGGGATTTGGTCGGGCGTTCCTGTTATTCTTTGGCATGCGCAGTCTTCAGAGCTTCCATCTTCAGGAGATGTTGTGCTTGGGCCTGTGCAGGTGTCAGAGCTAGCTGCAAAAAGCTGCTGTGTGTAGTCAGTAAAAAACATCGTAAAAACCATTGCGCAAAACAAAGCCAGGCCTGAGTCCGAAACCGGAATCCGGTTTCGACTTATTGACTTTCAATCCTCAACAGTTCAAATATATGCCACCATAAGAAAGGTAAACATTCAACAAACGCACCGTATTTTACAGTGTTTCAGACACGTGGAAGAAATAGACAAGCAGAGTAGATATAATGCTTCTAATGCAGGAAGGTAGAAAGGTAGAAAGGTAGAAGGCCATATGTACACACAACATCTACACACACATATATATATATATAGTATATATTCATTGATTTAAATATGTGATGCGTGTGTACATAGCGGCGCTGGGTTGAGGAGGCCGCGCCAGAGGCCGCACCAGCATCGTGGGCAGATGGCTCGACGGCCAAGGCTGGCGTGGAGCTCTCAGCGCTTTGGCTGAAGTCCCATGGCAAGTGACGGGGCTCATAACGGTGCCTTTCTTAGTGGCTCCCAGTCATTCTCTTAGGCTTTTAGCTTTTTAGCTGTTTAGTGGCTATTTTTGCATTTAACCCACTAAAACCCGCTAAACTTTGAGCGGGGGATCTGAGGACAGCCCAGTGTTGAGGATGCCCTGTTATGTCTGGTGGTTTTGAAGGGATGGGATGCCACAAGCTTGTGTTTTCGCTTTACGCCCATCCAACAAGCGGGGCCCTATTTTGAGAAGGCCACGGCCAAATGACGCACCGCGCCACAAGACCTCAACAATCCGGTCCATTTCCAAGACCCGCGTTGATTCACTCGGAGTTTTCTTCAGGTGTGGCTCTTCCTGGGCTTCGCAACGCAGGCGGTGGGCCTGCAATATACTTCCGCCTCCAGCGGCGCGCTGCTGGGCAGTCTGACCACCGTGCTCCTTGGTTTCGTGATGCTGGGAAGGGCCGGGAAGGTGCAGGGTCAATTCGAGGCGGCGACCATGAGTTTGTAGATGTCTTCGTGCAAGATGCGCCTTCAAGTCAGCAGTCTCATACAGGAGCCACGCGGAGCTCGGGGTCTGTGAATTCAAGGAACATGAAGACCAAGTGCAAGCAACGTTAACATGGGGAAGACTGAAGTGAAAACAAGGATAAAGAAACAGAGACATAGAAACAAATCAGAGATGTTCAGTTCTGAAGCTTGGCATCTCAACCGGTTAGGCTACACGACCTCTGATCTTTGGGCTTGGGTGCCTGCTGTTTGGTTAAAAACAATGTTTTCCATCGAGACGGCACTTTTGCAAGTTGAGCAATACAGGTGGTTGCTTGCTGAATCGAAACGGCAATTTTACCCGTCCAACCGGCAACTTTTCCCGTCCAAACGGCAACTTTTCCCGACCGTTGGACGAGCATTTTGTGAAACGGCAGGTTTTCAGGCAAACGCTTTTTGGGAGATCTTCGCTTGTCTGTGATTGCCCTGTGGCATCGTTAACACGCAAGTCGGTCTTTGGACATTTTCACGGATTAGCTTTCCGCTTGTGGAAATCCAATAGGCGCCCTGCATCTCTGGCTGCTATTGCACGGAGGTGGCTTGCGATACCCAGAGTGCGCCTAGCAGATTTCAGTGCTGTTCATCTCGCCTTTCATCTGCACATGTCGGGTCACGCTCCAGCCCGGCAGATGGCGGTTCCCGGGCTGGTGCTGCAAATTTCCGGCGTGGCCTGGCAATATACTTGACACTCCGGCGGCTGAATGACTCGCCTTCCTTCGAGGCATTGCTTGACATCGCCAGGCTTCTTTCGTTGCTTCCGGCAAAGGGTGCTGTCCTGATGAGGGGCGTCGCGCTCGTTCTGCCACTTTCCGGAAGCAATGTGGCTTCATACTGGGAGCTGCTTTGGCCTAGTATACTTACAGCAGATAAAGTGTCCTACTATGCCACTTGCATCAACAAAAAGAAGGGAGCCGTGATGCGCTGCTTGGCAAACCAGACGCGCGCACTTTCAGCACCTGTGCTAGACTTTTAAGGTTAGATAGGAAGTGAAAAAGGCTTTATGCAAAAAACATGTGGCACTTGTTTCCGTTGCCGCCTTTCACACAAAGGGCCCTTGACTCAGAAACAACAAGCCAAGGTGGTAGGCTTAGTATCAACAGCCTGGATCAACATCGGCAAGCTCTGCGGGAGAAATCCCGGAGAAAGTTCAACTTCGGAACAGCAACGGGAGGACTACGCGGAGAATCTCAGCAAAGCCGGGCAGAACTCGGCGAAGCTGGGCCGAGGCTTTCTGGGCAAACTCGGCAAGACCGGACTGAAAAAACTCGGGGAAGCTGCTTTTTTCGCCGCAGACGAAGCAGACAAGCTGCCGGAGTCGGAAGCTGCAAGACGTGACGGCGTGAAGGGCTCGTGAGAAAAGTGGCGGCGCAAATCTGGACGGGTATGTTTTGACATTCGACGTGGTAATTGTTGTTTCTGACCCTCATTTTATACCAAGGTTTCGGAAGGGATCCTGAATCATGCCTATGATCCAGACCCGTTTTTGGAGCGCGACCGGGTTTCCCTACATTTTGATATAGGGCCAAGGCGCTGTTTGGCTTGTACTTGGGCCAGCCAACTCAGCAAGGGAGAAGTTCTTTTGTTTTTTTGGGGAAGGTTGCTTCAGAGTGAAACTGCTTACTAAACACAATCAAGTGTTATTAGTTAGTTTTGCTCTCTCTGCAAAGCGCCACAGGTTCGTGCTTTTCAGGAAGGGCAACTGGTGGCCGATTGGCCTTGAACGCGCTATGCGACGGGGCCGGAGTGTCCAAAGGTGACTTTCCATGCGGCCCAACCTTCAAAAACACTCCAAGTACTGATGTGGAGCAAAAACTCCGAGGGCCATGGCAATTATAAGATTGCTCTTAGCTCTCATGTTTTCGCCCGGGCGTGTCTCAAATTGTGGACCCCTCCACGCGGTTAATTTCCTCTCAAGCTATCGAAAACCCATTTTGAGCACAAGCGGTTCACAGTTTGCGGACTGAATGCGGCCTAAATTTGAGATCGAATCCTGGTTCAATTGTCATCGGGTATCTCGCGATGGCTCGCAAAGCTTCGGGCGTGCCTGTGTGTGTGTTCCTTTTCAAATCGTTTGTTTGGGGCTGGGTAGGGAAACCGCAAATTGAAGGCTGGTGCCGCTGCTAAGCTTGCTGGATGGGCGCCACATAGACCGGCTGACTTGGGGCTCGGAGCCTTGGCGGAAATCACTTGGGCGAGGGGGGCTGCGGCTGGGGTTTGCCAATTCCACTGATGGACGACCCCACAAGATCCAACCAGGATCACACACACCCAGTCGACCGGTGGCGGCTCTAGTTTTTGGAGTTCGAGGAAAGTAGGAAACAGTTCCCATAGGACACTGAATCAAGCAAGCATGAATGTGATCAATGTAGTGACATCTGTGGATTCATCCGGAGGACCTTGCTATTCAGGGGCGGTTGCCTAGTCAGGAAAAGATCTATATTTCGGGGTCCTTTCCGATTTTTAAAACGTGCGACGTCCACTTTAGGTTCGGGTCCCAGATTTTGACTTTGCCTTTTCTCTTTTTGGTTGTCCTTTAAACCAAACCAAACAGGTGATTCCGTTTATCAAGGGCCGGTTGCTTCCCCGAAGGTGTGCCTCGCCTTGGTGGGCGCAGTGCTCTTCGTTGGGCCCAGTGCCATCTCCAGGGCTATCAGCAGCCGGGGCCTGGGGCCTCAGCCGTTTTCGGGAGTGCATGAAGGCGTCTTGTTACGTGGTTGTTGTTTTTGTCTTGTTCCCCAACAGCTGAAAGCTTTGGGGTCTCAGCCCAGATAGGCTCCGGGATGGTGCGGGGCGACAGGAAGACACACAAAGATCTAGATTTGCTGGAGAAACCACAAGGCAAAACAACTGGCTGGCTTTCGGGGTGGTGTGGGGCGGGCTCCGCAAGGGCTTTGGAGGCGGAGGGTTCCGCGAGGGTGCTGGGAGGGCGTGGTGCTGTCGGGGATATCGTGAGCTTATTTTTTTGGGGGGGGAGGAATGGAAAGCTTGATTTTTTTGGAAGCCAGCAATTTGTTTTTTGGAAACCAGGCTTTTGGGGTTGGAAGGTCGGATCGCCGCAAAACGTGGGAGCCTTGCCAGGCATCTGTTCCCGCAAGAACGAGTCAAGCGTATACTACTAGTCTCACAGAGGTGCAGTGGAGGAACACCACCTTGCGGAAAGAGTGCCACGGGTCGGCAAGGCTCATTTGTCGCCTGCAGTGGTTGAAACAAAGGGGATGCCTACAAAATGAGAAGAATCCGGGCTGGTTGCTGACTGCGTGTATGCTCGCGAGACATGTGCGACACGCGCTTGAGGAGACGTCTTGGAGCTGGGCAGCGCTGCGTTCTTTGCGGTGTACATATGGCGCTGCGAGAAGTTGATCCGCCAGCTCCCGGAGAGCGAGGTTCGGGCCCCAGAAAGAAGGTTATAATAGAGTTTAGGGTTTGGGGTGTAGGGTCAGGGTACGACAGACAAGAAGGTGCTTGGCCAACCTTGCTCGTGTTCCTCTTCTGGGCTGCAATACTCCTTGCAAGATTTAGGGCCCGTGATCCGTGATTCCAGCCCGCTGAAATGCCGCTTGGCAGTGACTTCCATCCCAATTGTGATTGGAGGGCAAGTCTGGAGTTGTTGCAGCGGGAGGCCAAAGACTCTTTTGCGTGACCGAAAAAAAGTTCTGAGAGTTGCGCGCTCTTCCGGAAGACAAGCGCGCAGTTCCGGAACATCTACTTTGGAATGCTGTCTGACTAGGGAAACCTAGGACCTTGGCAGGAAACCTGGAATAGTACTTTTAGTCGGAAGAATCAGTGACAGCTCAGATTCCTGCAGTCCACGCCTGTGAGCACATGCAGGAGTGATGCTTGTCCAAGTTTGAGTGCGCAGGCATGACAGGACGATATTTTGACAATCGCCACACGAAGCCCCCCGCCCGCCTGGGGCAACCCTGTTGGCAGGTGGCGCCCTTGACTTGCCTGCAGCTGGCGCTGGTCTCGTGCCCCTCAGCGCTTTCCTCGTATTCAATAGATTGAGTGGGCTTGAATGGGTTTGCGCACATGCTTTCTGGCCATGTTGTCTCCAAAAGGAAAAGCGCCGTTCCGTGCTATTGGTGAACAAAGAGCGGGGCCCAAAACAGCACCGCTTTGGGGATATGTGTTCTGTTCACAGGCGCTGCTTTTCAAACCCAGTTTCCCGTCAGTATTACAGGTGGCTGTCAGACTCCCTGCAGTGACATGACGCCCTGCGTGCCATAGATCAGGGAGCGCTTCGCGGAGCATCACATGCGCACTGGGCGGTCTTCGGTTCCCGATTTCAAACCCACGCCCCGTTGAACACTTGAACGTGCAGACTGCCCTGGCCAACGAGATATCTCAAAAGGGACCCCATTTGGTGCTTTGTTCTCTTGCGCTTCACCTTTTCCAAGCCATGCTGCTGTTTTGGGCATCGCCGTGTTGGCGGAGGCAAGGCGACACTTCACACAACAAAAACAAGCCAACGACCTGAACCACCATCTCCCCCCCCTTTCCGGGTGGTTCCGCCAAGCCCACAGCAGAGGCTTCTCCTTCCTTTGCTTCTTCGCGGAGGGCGTCAGCCTTGCGAGCGCGATGCACATGTTAGCCTTCCCTGCAGGCCGTGGGGCGGGCAGCTTTGTCGTTTTTTCGGCTGCTGGCTGGAAACGGTTTTTCCGTTTTCCGGGAATTTGGGCTGAAACCAGCCCTGTTCGTTGGGTACCCCCACTTGGGCGCCAACCAAGTTCTACTCTTCCGAGTCAGAGCAGTGCCCTCCTGGAATTTCAATGACCACCAACTTTCCATGTGTCGGGGAGAAATTTGATCAAGGAAAGTTAAGGAGGAGTTCCCGTGGCACGGCGGGTAATCGAAACACTCTCTCTCCCTCCCTCTCTTTCTCTCTCTCTCTCTCTCTCTCTTTGTCTCTCGCTCTGTCTCTTATGATTCTCCAGCAGTCGGAACCAACCGGATTCTTCCGTGGTCAAGCGATGTCGGCCCTCCAACTCCGAGGCAGTTGGGCGCTGCTCTTGGCCCTGGGCGTGGTGACCACCGGCTTTTGCCTCTGGGCGGAGGCCAAGGCGCTGCGGGAGGTGGACGCCACGGTGGCCGCGCGGCCTCGGATGGATGCACAAGGGCCCTGTGTTTGTGACTTTTCTTGACTGTTATTGGGCTGGATCTTTAGATTTTTTAGGAAATCAATGGGTTTTCCAGTAAGCCACCAAAAAGTTAAGCCTTTTGCAGGGGGGTCAACAGCGACCAAGTTTTGGACTTTTCTCCAAATGGACCCCTGTTGGTTCTTTTGTTCAAGGGTATTTTGAGAAATGGCCCAAGTATCAATTCCAATAGAGATTTGCGGTGCCCCTTTTTCAACGTTCAAATGGCAGCCAAAAGGAACGCAATTTTTGGTGTCCCTTGCATTCACACTGGTCCGCACGGCCCGGCGTGTGCCTGGTGTGCGGCAAGGCCTTGAAACTTGAATGTGTTCAAATTGCTTGCTTCTTCCTGATTTTTTTTGTTAATTAAATGCTGCTGGAGCCAAAAGTAAAATGGGTGTCCGTTTGTTGTGCCCATGCTTCTGGATCCGATATAGACATGGCCATGATCATTTTTGCAAGCTTTTCTGGGGTTGGCCACCACACGGATTCCTCAATTGTTCACAACCAAGCTGGTGTATGGATATGTGCCCCGTGTCCGGCTTCAAAACAGAATGTGCTTTTTTTGCAAAAGCAAGTGTTCGGTTTCACTTGGCTGCTGGTGTTGTGTTTTTTGGGGAGTGGGGCCTAACGCGGTTGGCCCAGCGCAAAAACTCCACTGAGCGTTGTGCGGTGTGTGTTTCGGACAAAGGACTACCCATCCCTCCACGCATCCCTGCAGCTAGGCCCCAAGCCACGTGGCGAATTGCTCGCTTGGCTGACTGAGGCCGCTCTGATTTATGCTTGCGAGCCTGTCTGGGGCGCCATCTTCGCATACGTTTGGCGAGGCGAGGAGGGCGGGGGCGAGGGGAGAAGTGCTAAACGGAAGGAGGGCCAAAAGACCTCAGCAAGGATCCTTGGTAGAACTGGGAGACACGCTGCACGCTGCGCTGGTGAGTAGAAGTGTAGCGCAACATCAGGCAGCAGTCTCGTGATGGCGCAACATCAAGGCGTTGTTGGTAGGGATTTGTTCAGTGCGCGCAGCAGCAGTGGGCGCAGGCGCTGCAGCTGAATACACCAGTCGAGATTCCGCTTGACTTGAGCAACAGCAGCAGCAGCGTGCGCAGCAACAGCTGCAGCAGCTACAGCAGCAGCAACATAGCGTGGCACAAGCTGAGCAGAGGCAGATACAAATGCAGTGCTGCTGTGGGCTGGGCCAAGCGGCGTAATGCCGCACAAGGCTTTGAAGGCCATACTGACATGTGTAGGTACCTCCCTGGGCGCAGGTGGGTACGTGCGTTTGCTTTTGGTATTACACCAGAAATCACGGCTGTCGGCCAAGGTAGCAGTCCGCATCCTTACTGCACGCGCTCGGTTACTGCAATTGCCAGGTTACTGCAATTGCACTTGGCTGGATCACTCAGCAAAGTTGCTGGATGTGCTCCAGATTGTACAAAATTTTGACGGCCTTTTCTCGACTGCCAGCTGAGCAACAAGTTGCCTCGCTTGTTGTGCCTGCTTGGCTTTTCACTCCGTGCTAGCAAGCAGTTCACGGCGTGGAGAACGCTGCTCTCTACCCGACATTCTGAAGAAGGTGGTGTGCGGGTGGTAAGAAACGTGCAAGCTTATTGCTGGTTCACGTAATGGACTGGAGTGTTGGCGAGTGGCTTTTTTTTTAAGGCGAGCCCATTCAGCATGCTGAGTCCTTTCAATATCTCCGGGACTTTGGGATAGGGTAGAAAGGCGAACCTACCTAACGCTCGACAAGGCCACATATAGTTGATTGAAAGACAAATGCGTCATCCACAAATTCGATCACTGAAAGCTTGTGCGCAGAAAGCACATCAATGGCAACAAAGCGCTATCGCGCGAGGGCATGGCAACTCTGTCCTGGAAAGGGAAGGGTGTCAAACCAGGTCACTCCTAAGCGACTACCCAGGCAACATCGGCAACGTCCACTCCCCTGCGCAGCAGGCTGTGCGTCTGCAAGCGATCAACCAAGCGCGGCCCGGCCCCAACAGCAACACCAATTGATCTTGTGGCAAGTGGCACCACGTCAAGGCTGAGAATAAATGCCTCCGCCCCTTGGCCAAGACCCGCCGCCAAGACCATGAGGCAACCGTAGGAGACCCGAAATTGATCCTGCTGTTTAAAGGCTGGGTCCAGGCACCGCCAAAATTTCCCGCATCCCCTGGGGCTGTTGCTCAACAATCCGCTGCGCTTGCTCATGTTGCAGCTGCCTCCTGCTTTCGAGAAAGCTGCGCCAGGATTTGCTGCCAGCTTGCGAAACGGGAATCTGGATGACACGCACGCCCATTGGAGTAAGAGCGCTTGGCTCTATACTCGTGCTTGGATTTTGGTTAGAGTGTCGGCCAGGATCCCCTTTAATGGGAAGATTGCTCGGCCTGCGGCAGTCCGAAAAACCTCGCGCAACGCCTTGCAATTTTGTCATGTGCTCTACGATGAGCCGTCCACATCTTGGGATGCTTTCTTGTGCGCATCCTAGGACGAGGTTGTCCTACTAAGAAACATCTTGCATGTGGGCCGCCCACAGCGCAAATCCTTGCAACACATGTATAGGAGATGTGTCAAAAGGGTGCTACTTCTAACCTGACCGCTCCGGCCTTCGCCCTGGCGGTTGTTGGCGCAAGCGGCAAAGGGTTGTTTCGCACTTAACAGAGCCCAATGCCTTGCTCTTTGCCTGCCGCCCGGCTGTTCCGTTTAACAGCCGATTTTCCCTGCCAAGAAGTTCGGGCAAATGATGGTGCTGCGGCAAAAGGGCTGCCCTGGAGCACGATGCGATTCGGCCTCGAACCTTGGGAGCACGATTCGGCCTCAATCTTTGCCATACCTGATTGCGGCGCTTTTGGCCCACCTGGGAGCCTACAAACAGAGCCTGAGATGCTCAGATTTTTCCCGCGGAAGAGTTAAGTAAAAGGAGGATAAAGCGGTCGCGAGCGCGTCCGCCAGGCGAAACCTTGGATGGCCCCTACGCAATGTCCGGCGCGGCTTTCCTGCTGGTGGCCTCGGTGACAGGCGAATGGATCCAGACCGGCGGGACTGGCTCCGCGAATTGAACCCAGGGTGTCAAAATGCAAAGGGGCCGCTGGTGTTCGTTTGATGTCCGGAATTTCTTTTAAAACTTTCACACGCAAAAAATTGGCGCCCTCAGCAAGCCAAACCCTAAAGTGCTGGCAGGCGTCATGGCGTCCATCGCTGATGAAGGCTCTACGCTGGATGCCAAGGGGCCCTGCAGCTAGGGTTGGCTCACCTGGACGTAGACGGGGGGCTCCTTTTTGCGGAGCGGTTGCTTCGGTGCAGCTGCCTCTGGCAGCTCTCATGCAGTTTTGGTTTGTAGGACACGGCGCAGCATTCACATGCTAAGATGATGTGCCGCTCACAGGGCGACGCTCAGTCGGGTCTGGGGCCATATAATTATGGCCTCACGACAATGTATTTCTTGACACGGGCCTTTGGCCGAACTGTAGGGATGGGAGGGTGCAATGGGTTCCGGTCAACGACATTGTCAACAAATAGCGTGAAATTTCATGACTTCCTCCTGGATTCTTCTGGCAAGGGTTACTATACATTCATTTGTTTCCAATCGGGGGGTTGGCTTCCTGTAATTGGTTTCCCGTCGAACAACCCAAAAAAGAGCAGCCCAGAAAGCGACGTCAACATTTTGGCAACATCATTTTGCAGAATTCATGTGGTCCTTTTGTGCTTCTTAGCGCCCTCCATCTCCTCCTTTGTCGGTCGGCGCAGGGTTCCGGGTGGGGGGGCTACGCCTCCTTGACGCCGCCCCTGCGAAGTTAAGGTCCGGATGGACATTTATGGGTTTGTCTCCGAATTCGCCAGGTCCTATCTGGTATTACCTGGTGGTTGGAGTTCATTTGGCTTCCCTTCAAAGCCATCCAAAGCAGATGTCCGCGAGCAAAAGACAAACCCCTGCGCCGGCTGGGCGCTGCATGTGACCGCGTTTGCCTCCTCGTTTGCATGAACGAGAGAAGCAGCTGAGAGTTGCCAGCTTCCCACGTGGCCCTCATGCGATTTTGCAACAGTCGGTGAATAACAAGAAGATGTTTGCATCCTTCCCCCCCATGGATCTGGGTAAGTTAAAGCAACCTGACAAAGATGTTTGGTTTGCAAGCGTTTTTTCCTTGGGTCACTTTGAAGTTGGTAGCTTTCATTGCCACGCTACCCTTGCATCTTGGGCCACGCAAGTCTAGACTTGTTGAACCAATGGGTTTCAGCACATGTCCCGTGCAGGTACGAGCAAGCTAGAGAGTAGAAACACGCGGGGTCCGCCGCCCTTGTGGGATGGCACAACCTGGGCTAGCGCCCATCCCTTGGCATGATCTCTTTTGCGGGGCATATAAGCCCCTGGGATTCAAGGGGTGATGTTTTCGGGCAAACAGCCACTCAATGTTGGCTGAGTTCTTGGACCTTGAAGAACTTGTTGGAGCCATTTTAGTGGTACGCACCATTCGGTTAGACTATTTTGGGCCATCTACTCGAGAAGTGCGCGCGCATTCAGTCAAAACATTTCAGAGCTTTCTTGAGTCGTGAGTCCCAACCCAGCGCTCACTTTGGCGGCTGGCGCTCTGCGAGCGTTTCGTTTGGCCCTAGGCCATGTTTCTTGACCGCAGCCATGCTGCGCGTACAAGGGGCCTTCGAAGAACATCTCAAAAGAGGGCTGAGGGTCTCCGCCTGCCTCCATGGAAGCAGGCCAGCAGTCTCTAGACTTTTTTGCCTTTTGGAGCCACAGCTCAATGCTGTAGCACGGATGCTCTGTGCCGCCGACAAGTTCTTCAGGATGTTTGTCCAGCTTGAAAAGGTCAAGGAAAGATCAAGTTGAGCGGGTTTTGTCTTGAGTTGGGTGTTCGCGATGCTGACCCAGTTGACCCATATGAAACGCTCATCGAGCCCAATTCTTGCCCAGCGCCTGTTCCTTTAAGGAAGCCAGGTTGTTGCTGCGGGGGGACGAGCCAGGAGAGACCCCAGCAAAAAGTGAGCTTGTCCTTGCGCGTCGCATGTCAGGCATCCCGCGTTGACAAACATCATTCTATATCATTCTGCTTATGGTGCTTTCCATGGGGTCGCTTGTCAGAGGAGCCGCATTCTGGTTCATGTGGTGGGTTGCAGGACTTGCCACGGTGACGAAGGTTGCAAGCCTGAAACTTCGTTGCATTCGTGCTCTTCGACTGGTCTGAGGGAAGGTGTTTGGCACAACTTCGGCTCAGGTCAGTGGCCAGCCAAACAGCAACGCCACATGGCTGGGTACCAACTGATAGCTACTTGGAGCTGCAATCAGCATGACGTTGCCCCAGGCCTGTCATTTGCATTCCTGCCATGCTGCAGAACTGATGAGACATCGTCAAGCCTCGTCACCAGAGACGCGTGGCAACGACAACAACAACATCAACACCATCATCATCATCATTATTATCATCATCAACAACAACATCACCAACATCATCATCATCATCATCATCATCATCATCATCATCATCATCATCATCATCATCAACAACAACAACATCACCAACATCATCATCATCATCATCATCATCATCATCAACAACAACAACAACCCTCTGAACAAGAGAGCATGGAATATAGGTATACAACGGATCAAATAAGGTCCAGAATGAAGGATCATCTCGCGGGTGTCTCATTACTTGCTGAAATTGGCAGGTTTCAATTGTAACATGTCCTTCTGGAAGCCAATTTTGGTTTTCCTCAGGTCTTGCTTCTAGGGCGATTCAGAGGCTCAGAGCTCCGGAGTGGCAGCGGGGTCCTCAGAGGCTGCCATCGTGTCTCAAAATACTGTGGATGGACGAAATCCATTTCGCACCACTTTGAAACCATACGAAGCCATTCTTGGTTGATATTTGCAGGGGAATCAAATCATTCCAGGGCTTCTTGGGTGGTGCAGGATTTCGTCCATCCACAGTAGGGGATTTGTTTGTTGGGGGGTTGTAAAGGGAGACTAGAGGAAACTGGCTATTAAGGCGGGTCACCTATTTTTGTTGAGACACACCCATGTAGAATATCTTCCAAAGCGGGAGTCTTAACCAGTTTCTGATCCCTGAAAGCCCCTGGTCTGTGTTGGAAACAAGTTCCCCTCCGACTTCCCAAGTTTCTGGCCTCTAAACCATGGGCCTAACACAGTGGCTTCGGTGAATTGGACAGCGGGTAGGCGAAATTGGGAGATCCCTGCTGTTGCGAATTCGCCAGTTCTATGGGAATGTCAATCAAATTAGGAGCCATGTTTTTGGACAGTGCGACACCGAAGCCGGTGCATTTCTCAAATAGGGATACCCGCTCTGTGCTTTGTGGTTTCCCTTGATTCTCTGCATGTTTAGAAACACTGAGCTGCGCACCTTGAAGTGTCTCGAACATGTTTGCTCGGAAAGCCGGCTGATCCCTCCCAATGCTAAGACACGTGTATGCCAACACATGCCACGTCATGTTGCCTGATTACCATCCTTTCAAAAGTTTCCCAAAGCAGCCCGAGCTGGAGCAAACGCATAGTTAGTCAACTCCAAGAAGTCAACGCGATTTCACCTTAGCGGAAAACCGACCTCCATGAAGATTCCTTCCTCACTCCGTTTCTTTAAAGACAAAGTTCGTGACTTTTGTAACTCACTCAGAATGAAAAGGAGGCCAAGCCTTTTTACACTGAACGAGCCTGAAGCCTAAAACCAACGAACGCCTTAAACAGACCCAGGGCTCCTTAAAAGATACATTTTGCAACCATTTGAAACAGGTTTTGTCCACCTAAAAACCACCATTTACAAGTTGCAATGTTCAGGTGTATAATGTAAGGATCCCTGAGACCCCATAACCCCCAAAGCTGAGAGGAATGGACCCAGCGGCTGTTCGCGGCGGGCATGGCCGAGCAGATGAGGCGCCGTCACAGCCGCCGGAAGGGGGGAAGGCGGCGAGGGAAGGACAGGGACTCAGGGAAACCAACCAGGAGGGATACAGGCAGAACCCTGGATACCGTTTTATGCACCTTGACTAAGTTTGATATGGGAAAGGGCGAGGGAATCCCCCCATATCCCCGGGCCCTTGTCTCCGTCGCTGGATTGTCGCGCATGTGGACAATTGGGGTTTCACGCTGGTGGCCTCTCTCCCCTTGAAAGCCAAGTCATGGCAATCTGACCCTCGTGTCACAGCCTCGTGTTTTTGGCAAATGCGGGACATGAGGGACATTCTATTGTGAAGGCAGGGGACAAATTCAGATCCGCATTTTTGGGAGGCCTCCGCTCCGCTTTGGGAAACATCTGTATATCACTCAGCAAACACTTGCAATCTGTTCAAAACAGTTGGTCCCTTCATACGCCCTTGCGTAGGGTGGCAAGAATGCTGGGTCGTTTGGTCGGCGTCATTATCTCAGCGGATTGGATTGTGGATCAGGCACATCTTGGGCACATCTGTGGCTTTTGGAGTGAACATGCTAGTGTATGCAGGTAGATTAGGATGGACATCACCGATCGTTTTGGCTTTGCGTGATGTGAATTGCGGGGCATCAGCCAGCTTCAAACTTAGGCCTGCCACAGCATCAGAGCAGACGCAGGAGTTTTGTTTACTAAAACCTGGCCAAGAATGGCAAAGCAATTGTTCCTTTGCCTCTCTTTGGTGCATTTTGCTTGGATGTCAGGACTTCAACTTTTTGCCAACTAATGGGTTTTCAATTAAACCACTAAAAGTTAATCTTTTAGCAGGGGAGCAGAAAGCAACCGAGTTCTTTTTGCTTTTGGTGTTGATGTGATACCGATGTTCCATGGGCAGGGCGCATGAGAAGTGTTTGTTGGTGTCGTGATAAGCACGTCTCCTTTTGCAAGAAGCGCACGGTTTTGGGGCTGCCATGAGGGTTCTACTATTCAATACCAGAGCATGCAAAAACGATTTGTTCGGGCATCTTAAGAAAAACATCTTGAGTGTGGATGTTTGTCTTTTTCGTAGAGAACGTCCTGAATTTTGATACCCGAGCCCCACCCCACCAAACATTCTCATTGGGAGTGTGTCAAGACGGTTTGTGGGGAGGGAACGTGTTTGTATCAGGTCTGAAGGAACACCAACCAATTCTGACACTTGTGCCGCAGGGGAGATCTTCCAGCGTCCGGCCATTGGAGAAACTGGCGATGTGACGATGGTCAATCGATAGATGCACGGGATCGTGGATCCTTCAAAGAGAAGGAACCGCACATTTCCAATTCAAGAGCAAGCCTGTCAGAGCATGCACCTAGAT